CACACACACACACACACACTCCTCCCACACTCTGAGTGCTTACTGGGGAGCACTAAGTATTGTGGGAAACTGCTGTGTCTCTGCAGAGTTGGCTTCAGGCTTTGCCGTTTCCACCTGTGTGGCCTTGGACAGCTTGCCTCACTTCTCAGAGTCTGGATCTGGTCTGTAAAATGGAGCTGGTGATAAGGGTGTGGCTCTTTGAGTAGGAGGATTTGGTGAGATTGTGCACCTAGGATGGCACAAGAGTCAGGTGGTTTCATGTTTTCCGGAAGTGTGGGTATAATCGGCAATGGCAGCACCTTCAGCATAGGGTCCCTAGCCTAGACTGTCTCTCCTGTCTTCTTTGCATTTTCTTGTTGCTAGAAAAACCACAATGCTGTCTTTTGCCAGTTCCTTGGTCCTTAAAGAAACTTTGGGAGCAGGGAGCTATTTTTCCTTGTGAAAGGGACCGCAGAGATATAGGAGTGACAAAGGGAGGTGGCCTTTTTCTAAGGGACACTTTGTTCAATGACTGGGAAGAACTGGAAGGTTCACAAAGGCACAGCCCAGTTGGTAAAGAAGGAGCCTTGGTGGCACAGTAAGGTAAGTAACTGGACAGCTGATTTGAACCCACCAACCACAGCGCTGTGGGCTAATGCATCAGAATACAAAGTCGTTTGAACTGCAAGGTCAGTGGTTCAAGCTCACCATCTGCTCCTTGGGAACCCTATACAGGGTTGCTATGGGTTGGAATCGACTCGACAGCACTTAACAACAACAACAACCTCTCCTTGGGAGAAGGATGAGGCTGCCTCTGTAAAGATTTAGTCTTAAAACAACCCCTATGGCACAGTTTTGCTCTGTTCTGTAGGGTCACTGGACTTGATGGTGGTGGGTATAGAGGACAAGGATGTAAGCAGGCAGTTCAGAGGAACCTCAAATAATTCATAACCACATGAGCAGATGTTAAGACTCACTGGTAAATATTATTGTTTTTTAAGTGCTGTGGAATGGTTCCAACTCATAGCGATCCTGTATAGGGTTTCTGAGGAGCAACTGATGGGTGTGAACCACCAGCCTTGCAGTTAAGCAGTCCACTCCCATTGGTAATTAGAGAAGTGCAAGTTGAGCTGCAGGATTGACAAAGAGAGGCTATTGGCAAAGGTTGGCTATCCTGTGCTGGTGAGTGAGGGGACCCGGTGCTCAAGCCTGTAGTAAGAATCTGTGCTGGCATTTTGTAGGACTTTCCAGCAGGATGTAATACAGTCACAAAGCTTCCTGATCCATCAATTCATCTTCTTGGTATGAGTCCTAGAGAGACCCATTGTACATGCCCAGTAACTGTCTTTATACTGTTTGTAGTTGCAAAACCTGAGAACAAGTCCAGCACTCATAAGTAGTGGGAAGGTGAAAAGTGCAGCAATGTCCATAGGCTGGAAGGCTGTGTAGCACCAAATAAGATTTGTATTGTGATGGGAATGTTGCTAGGTAAGCAAGAATATTGTTAAGGGGGAGAAAAATCAAGTTGTAGCACAGAAATACAATATGATACCATTTCTGTGAAAATACTCATGAATCTTCCCCTCCCTCCAAATGGAAAAGATTTTCTAGGTGCAACTATAAGTAAATGCCTAGAGAATGGATAGGAAGAAAGCTCAACAAACTTATTGAGAGGTGGGTGGGCGTGAGGGTGACTCTAAGTATTTTAAATCAATGTATCTGTTTATTACATCTATAATTAGAGAGAATTTTCCAAAAAGGAAAAGAATCAATAGAATGTAGATCTGTGGGTATATTGCTTGGTAACTTGGCTTTCCTTTTGCCTTCCCTTGAAGGATTCTGAAAGGCTAATGGAGCAACAAGGAACCCTGCTAAAACGACTGGCAGAGGCTGACTCCGAGAAAGCGGTAACATAAAGCTCCCTGATTCCAACCATAGTTCATGATCTATAAACCCGAGTGATTGATCTTTCCCTGTCCTGTCTTCTCCACTGGACTTGCCTAGTGAGAGCTTGAATCACCAAGCTGAATGCCACACAAGGGATGATGAGGATGACGATGGATTGACAGACCATCAGGGTTCTGTTAACCTGGATTTCCTTATTCAGATTACGGATTAAAAGTCATCAAAAAGTATATATCATTTGACTCAACAATTCTAATAGAAATTTCTCCCAAGGCAGCATGTTACAAAGACTATTCCATGGAACCCTAAATTCCTCAAGATGTTAATGGGTGAAAGAAACCAAAGTGGGGAGATTTCATAGCCATATTGATTTATGAAACTACTGGCTGACCAGAACTAAAAGTTCTTTAAAAAGGTTTCTTAAAAAAAACTAAAAGTTCTTAAAAAGGTTTCTTAAAAAAATTTTTGAACCTTTGATATATTAATGCCCATCGTAAATGTGCAAGGGAAGGAAGAAAAATGGAAGCCATATAACCCAAGATTTGGCGTTGGCCCTTGATATCTGGCCAAACATCACTGTGGAAGGCATGGAACTCAGCATTCCTGGTGATGCTTCCTGAACCTTTTATTGCCATCTCAAAACCTTACTATTTTTTGTCTTTGCTACTGTTGGTTGTATTTAATTGTGGTAAATATATAGGTAAAGGAGTCCTGGTAGCATAGTGGATTACAAGTTGGGCTGCTGACTGTAAGAGCAGCAGTTTGAATCTGTCAGCTCTTCTGCAGGAGAAAGATGAGGCTTTCTGTTCCTGTAAATATTTACAGCCTCAGAACCCCCATACACGGTTGCTAGGAGTCAGAACTGACTCGGTGGCACACAACCACCACTACCACCATCTGGTTGGGAATTATGGGTAGTCTCGAAGCTTGAGGGTGTTTTCAGTGTTCTCCACACTATTACTTTTTAAGAAAATTGCAAAGTAAATACATGTTCATTGTTAAAAAAGCAAGTTTAACACAGATGGGTCTCTGCAACAAAGGGCTGTTGTACATGGAATCTTGGCCCTGGTAGTCAAACATTCACATTTTCCCTGTGAGTGTTTGAAAGGAAGGTTGGGCTTCCTTTCCCTTTCCAGGGAGCACATGACAATGTGTGTTCTCTCCCAGCGCCTGCTGTTACTACTGCAAGACAAGGACAAGGAAGTAGAAGAGCTGCTTCAGGAAATTCAATGTGAGAAGGTACTGTCCCTTAAACTTACTTTTTTTATGAGTCAGTGAAGCTGAGAGTGCACTTGCTGGGCTCTACACCTGGCTGATCTGCCACTGCTCTGTCTCTCCAAAGGCTCAAGCGAAGACAGCGTCTGAGCTTTCTAAGTCCATGGAGTCTATGCGTGGACATCTACAGGCTCAGCTTCGCTGCAAAGAGGCTGAGAACAGTCGCTTATGCATGCAGATCAAGGTAACTGTTGGCTCTGTAAGTGGGGAAGGGAGGAGGCAGGGTCTGGTAATCCAAGGGAGGGCATCCTGGCCATGAAAACCTCACCCAGCAAGGTTTTGTCCCCAAAGTTTATGGGACAGCTGCTGCCAAAGTACTCATGCTTCAGAGACACTCTGGGGCAGTGCCAAGAGCGTGAACAGAGACTCTGGAGGCCTTGGGTGCCCTGCTGAGAGTTGACTGGCCTGGGTGCCATGCCCATGGGTCCAACACTTAATCCCTTAAGCCAGAGGTGGGGAACAATTTTTCTGCCAAAATTTATAACATCATTCACGGACCATACAAAATTATCAACTTAAAAATTAACCTGCTATAGTTGGTCATACATTTAATTAACTCACCCCTAGTGTAATGGCTGGAACTGCGGTTGCCTTGGCAGGGGAAGATCAAATGATATTGTGAGCCTTATGTTCCCCACCCCTGCCTTAGGATGCTCTCAGATGTTCTTTGCATCTTTGCATCTGTGAGCCCAGTAACCCCTGAGGCCACAACCTCTGCTTTTTGACTGACTATATCCCTGCTGAGTGCCTGAGAGGAGGCAAAGGAAGTGAGGCCAGTTGGCTTAGTTGGCTTCTTTTCCTTTCTTCCTGTGCTAGGTGGGCATTCACACATGCAAACAAGTCTAGCATGGCCCATGTCCTCTGGGGGAGAGAACCCAAGCCAGCAATTACAACCTGCTATGATAAGTGCTAAGATAAAGAGAGATGCCTGGGGGAAGGAGTCCAGAGTTATTGTCTCATAGCACTGAGATTTGGGGTTCTGAGATGGGAAGGTGTGGAGTTTGGAGAACTGGAAGCAGCTGTGTGTGTGATCCACATGGGGGGAACCCACAGCTCCCATACAGTTGAGGACTGTTTTTCTCTGTCTCACTCTCTCTTCTCCATTTTCTCTTTCTGCATGTCTCTTTCTCCCTGTGACTCTCTTGCCTTGCCTTTCTTGTCTCTCACTTCCTCTCCCACTTTTCCTTGCCCCTCATTTGTTCCCTGCCTCCCCTTCCCCCAGAATCTGGAGCGCAGTGGGAACCAGCATAAGGCAGAAGTGGAGGCCATCATGGAGCAGCTTAAGGAACTGAAGCAGAAGGGAGACCGAGACAAAGAGACCTTGAAGAAGGCCATTCGAACTCAAAAGGAGCGAGCCGAGAAGAGTGAGGAGTATGCCGAGCACCTGCATGTGCAACTTGCAGACAAGGTAGTAGGCCTGGGGGTGGCCCCACTTCTTGCCTGCCCTGAGAGGGATGCATGATAATGCAGGTGGAGGTGGGGGTGGGGGCCTAGAGTTGGTTTGGGTGGATGAGGGTAGGTGGGTAGTGGTAGAAAAGTTGGAGGTGACCATGTAGTGGTAGAAAAGGGGGCATGAGCTGGTGGGTTAGGTGCTTGGCAGCAGGGAGAGGTAGGTAGTTGGTGGATTGGGTGGATGGCTGGTGATGATGGGAGGGATGGTTGGAAAATGTAGCCACAAATATGGTCAAGAAAGGGTTTGCAAACTGGGTGTGTGTGATTGCTGACAGTATAGGACCTGGGTTCCCCTCCATGATCCTCTGTGTTCTTTGGAAAGGTGGCTTGAAAGAGTGAGGTTTAAGCTAACAGGGTGCAGGATTGTCAAAGTGAGGTCAACCCCTGGCTCCCCAAGGTCTCAGTGCTGACCATCAAGCCAACAGCCCCTGTTATCCTGTGTTCTAGGATCTTTATGTTGCTGAAGCTTTGTCCACTCTGGAATCATGGCGGAGTCGCTACAACCAAGTTGTGAAAGACAAAGGAGACCTTGAGCTGGAAATTATCGTCTTGAATGAGTATGTCTGTGTGAAGAGAGGGAGGGCAGACTGATTGAGAGACTTGGCTGTATAGGTGGAAGAAGCCTAGTGGTTGGCAGCTCTTGTGGCTGCTGTTTGGTCTCCAGTGGTCAGGGATGGCATTGGGCTGAGGAGTGAATAGCCCTCAACCAGGGCTACCTGGTTGAAGCTGAGCTCAGGATCTGGCCTTACCCTAGGGTCCACCTCTACAGGCAGCCACTGTAGAGGAGTTGTGCTTCTCTGTTTCTTCTCAGAGGTCTGGGTCTGACTGTCTTGAAAGTATTGCTTTCTGTTCCCAGTCTGCAGCTGGGCACACTGGTATTCTCATTGCTTTTTTGGGGGGTATGGGGCAGCTGATGCTCTCTGTCATCAGTTTATTGTCTTACCAAGACCAGCTATGCAGTAGGTTGGTGCTATGGAGGAGGGGCAGAAGTGGCTTTCAAGTTGCCCATGACTTGAATTCACACCATTCTTGCCATCTGCAGTAACCGTTTGGTCATTCTTAGTGTCAAGCTGTATTTATTTGTTCATTCATTCTTTCAAGAAAATAATTATTGAACATCTACTACATACTAGACTATGTGCTGGCCTCTAGGGTTATAGCAGGAAGAGACAAAATGTGACCCCTGCCCTCATTGGGTTAGTTTGTACTCTAGAGGAGGTGACAGGGCTACAAGAGACCTGTACGCTGGGCTAAGGATGGGTCACAGAGGGAGCTAACTTTGTCTCCAGGTCAGGTAAGTTTTTCCTGAGGAGGCCGATAGGCAAATACATCCTGAGAACCTGTTGTGTGTAGTGGGCCCTTTGCCAGGTACTACAATCAGGGAATTCTCAGTCTACTGAGAGTAAACGGAGAATTAAAAGTAGAAAGATGTATGGTATAGATAAAGAGGGGTTTGGGAAGATGTCCTGAGAAGGGAAAGTCTGAACTGGGGTTTTAGATGAATAGGAGTTTGCCAGGTAAAATAGAACAATATTTTTGCTTGGGTGTTTGCTTCACCATTCACTTATTAAATATTTGCTGAATGGTGAACTGGAATTGCTCAGCGATGGAAGTACATACTATGCAAAGGTTCCAGGTGGAATGGTCTGTGGGCAAGAGAGACTCAGAGGTCTGTGAGCCTCAATGATCCTCTGAGGCTGCAGCCTCTGTTGGGAGTGAGGGCTGGGTGGGCAGCCCTCTTCAGAGTGACTTCTTTCCCTTCATGTGTCTCTTTACCCCACACACACTCCTGTAGCTTCCCGCCTTTGCTGGGCAGGCTTTCAGCCATATGAGCTAGCCAAGCATGGAACCTTCCTTCCCCTGGGAGACAAAAGTAAGTCAGCAATTATAAGTTAGCCAGTGTGATACATGCTGAGATGGAAAAGAATGCCTGAGGGAGGAATAGGAAGTATCACTGGCCATCCAACTTGGGGAGGGGTGGTGGTTCAGGGAAAGATTCTGCCCTAATACTGAGACCACCAAGCTGATGGAGGCCCTTTCATCCTAAGTTTCCAGGATCTTTATGTTACTGAAATTGAGTTGGATTGGGGAAGTGCTTTGGGAGCTAAGACGGAAATCTGCCTGAGGTCCTTGCCTTCAAGGAGTAGAACCGTAGAAGACTTTTTGGAGAAGAGGGTGGTAGGGGAAACAAATCTTAAAGGAAGTTATTCAGAGGTGTGATATAGACACAGGCATGCCACAAGCCTCGACACCAAGGCAAAGCAGTGCAGCTACCTCTTGGGGTGGGGATTGGAGAGTGGGGATTGGACAATAGGCAGGGTGCCAAGAGGTATGACATGGTAGCAACACTTGACCTCACTCCACACAGAGACTGTGACTCCTCAGAACCTGTGGACAGACAGTCCCCAGGTTATGAATGAGATCTTTTCCTAAGTATGTCTTTAAGTAAGTTTTTAAGCTGAACTTGTAGGTAAGTCAGAATAGGTTCATATTTAGTTTTGCTTTAGTTCAAGTAAAGGTAAGAAGACTTTTCCATGATTTGAAAATTGCACTTGGATCAAGTGAAGATGAATGTGATGAATTGGTTGCTCCATCATATTTAAAGGTGGTAGGGCAAAGTTATATAACATTAAAGGGCCAAGTGCAAATTGTTAAGTCCAGTTGTCGATAAGTCAGATGTTCTGTTGTTTGTAACCTGGGGACTCTGTTTTGATTGTCTGTTTTTGCTCTGTGACCTGCTAGCCGAGTGACAGATCTGGTAAACCAACAACAAACCTTGGAGGAGAAAATGCGTGAAGACCGGGACAGCCTGGTGGAGAGATTACACCGTCAGACGGCTGAATATTCTGCATTCAAGCTGGAGAACGAGAGGCTGAAGGTCTGTCATAAGGATGAGGTGTGGGACAGTGTGTTGAGAGTAGAGAGTTTAAAGACTCCACATGTATGGATAGGCATCAGAGCTGGAGCAAGAGGGACTTAAGATTTCTGGAGGTAACATCATGACATGTAATACAAGTTCTGTCTCTGTCTCTTGCTAGCTCTGGGATCTGGCAGTATACTTAATGTTTTATTTTTGTAATTTCCTAAGTGGAGGAAAAGGAGCCTTGGAGCACAGCGGGTTAAGTGTTGGGCTGCTAACAACAGTGTTGGTGCTACCAAGCCACCAGTCATGCACCATGGAGAAAGATGTGGCAGTCTGCTTCTGTAAAGACTTATAGCCTTGGAAACTCTATGGGAAAGTTCTACTGTGACCTAATGGGCCACTCTGAATCGACTCGATAGCAGTGAGTGTTTTAGTTTGGAAGTGGAGGAAATGAGGTCCATGTGAGAATGTGTGTGAACTACTCAGCACAAATCACTCAGCTCACTTTGATAGACGCAAACTGAGGTGGAGGCTCATGTTTACTTTCCTGGAGCACTGAAGCAGTCATTCTCACTTAGCCTCATCAAACCAAAAAACTTAAACCCATTGTGGTTGAGTTGAATTGTAATGCAGAGTGAGACCCTATAAAACAGAGTAGTAGAATTGCATCATAGGGTTCCAAAGCTATAGATCTTTATGGAAGCAGGCTGCCACATCTTTCTCCCTTGATGCATTTGAACCAGGCAACTTTTGGCTAACAGCTGAGTGTTTAATCATAACAGCACCACCAAGGTTCCTCTTAAACCTTCCAGCCTCAGCATTTCCGTTATTATGCCCATTGGATAGAATAAGAAAATGAGGGCTTAGAGAGGTGCAATTTCTTGACAGTATTTTGCCCTAGACTGTGTGGTTGAGATTTGAATCTGACTCCAGAGCCTTTACTCAACCCCTTGATAAATATACCCTTTCAGAGTGCCAGGGGCAAAAGGCACCTAACCAGAGCCAGGTTTGATCTTGGTTTTTATACTGAACTGGGCAGTAACATGGACTTTTTGTTGTTTGCTAAGTTAAATTTATTTTAAAGAAATACAGCATGTTGTTAGGTGCTTTTGAGTCATTTCTGATCCATAGCAACCTTATGCACAACAGAACAGATCAGTGCCCGATCTTGCAACATCCTTGTAATTCCTGATACGCTGGAGACAATTGTTGCTGCCACTGTGCCAGTCCATCATGTTGGGGGTCTCACCCCTTTTTTGCTGTCCCTCCACTTTACCAAAAGAGGTCCTTCTCACGTCCACCCTGATAATATGTCCAAAGTATGAGACAAAGTCTGGCCATCTTGGCTTCTAAGAAGCATTCTGGTTGTACTTCTTTCAATACAGATTTGTTTGTTCTTCTGGCAGCCCATGGTACCTTTAATATTCTTCAAGACCATAACTCAAATGCATCTGTTCTTCATTGTCCAACTTTCACATATATATGTGACTATTAAAAATACCATGGCTTGGGTCAGGTATACCTTAGTTCTCAAATGGACATCTTTGCTCTTTAGTACTTTAGAGAGATCGTGTGCAGCAGAGTTTGCCTAATGTAGTGCATAGTATGATTTCTTGACTACTGCTTCCATGAGTGTTGAAGTTGGATCCAAGCAAAATGAAGTCTGACAACTTCAACCTTTTCTCCATCTGTCATGATGTTATATATAGGTGCAGTGGTGAGGAGTTTTGTTTTCTTTATATTGAGGAGCAATCCATACTGAAGGCTATGGTCTTTGATCTTCATCAGTAAGTTTGCTTTCAACAAGCAAGGTTATATCATCAATATATTGCAGGTTGTTACTGAGTCTTCTTCCTGTCCTGATGCCACGTTCCTTATATAATCCAGCTTCTCAAATCATTTGCTCAGCATACAGATTGAGTAAGTGTGGTAAAAGAATACAACCCTGTTCATACCTTTCCTAATTTTAAACCATTCATTGTCACTTTGTTCTTTCCAAATGACTGCCTCTTAGTCTATGTACAAGTTCCTCATGAGCACAATTATTAAGTGTTCCAGAATACTCATTCTCTGCAATGTTGTCCATAGCTTGTCATGATCCACATAGTCGAAAGCCTTTGTGTAGTCAATAAAGCATAAGTAAACATCTTTTGGGTATTCTCTGTTTTCAAGCAAGATCCACCTGACATCAGCAATGATATTCCTTGTTCCATGCCCTCATCTTAATCCGCCTTGAACCTCCTTGAGCTCCCTATTAAAGGACTGTCGCAACTGTTTTTGAATTATCTTTAGCAAAAATTTACTTGGTGTGATAATAATTATATAATCTGATGATTTCTGCAGTCCTTTGAGTCTCCTCTCGGGAATGGTATGGATCTCTTCCAATCAATCAGTTGGCCAGGTGCTGTCTTCCAAATTTCTTGGCATAGATGGGTGTGTGCCTCCAGTGAGTGCTGCATCAGTTTGTCGAAAGATTTCAATTTGTATTCCATTCATCAATTCCCGGAACCTTGTTCGTCGCCAATGTCTTCAGTACACCTTGGACTTCTTCCTTTAGTACCATTGGCTCTTGATCATATGCTACCTCTTGAAATGGTTGAACATGGACTGTTTCTTTTTGGTACAGTGACTCAGTGTATTCCTTCCATCTTCTTTTGATGCTTTCTGCATCATTCAAGACAGACTCGGAAGAAGGAGAGGCAGAATGCTTCTGAATGTTTAGCCACTGAAAACTATGAATATCAGCGAAGCACTGTTAAATAGCACCAAAAAAATTTAAATATTGAAACATGATGAATAGCACCAGAATGTTGTCAAATATACTGCTGAAAGATAAGCCCTTCCAACCTGAAGGGTTGGAAGGTACTTAAAACATGACTGGAAAAGAGCTGCTTCCTCAAGTAGAGTTGATGTGATAACGTGAATAGAGTAAAAGTTTCAGGACTTTCATTGATGATGGGACTCAACTGAAAATGAGGAGAAACCACTGCAAACATCCATTGATAATTGGGACATGGAATGTATAAAGTATGAATCTTGGAAAATATGAAATTTTCAAAAATTAAACAGAATGCATAACATCGATATCCTAAGCATTAGTAAGCTGAAATGGACTGATATTGGCCGTTTTGAATTTGAAATCACATGGTTCTATGCGAGGAATGACAAATTGAAGTGGAATGGTGATGCATTCATCATTGAAAGGAACATTTCAAGATCTATTTTGAAATATAATGCTGTCTGTGGTAGGATAATATCCACATGCCTACAAAGACCAGTTAATACCACTGTTACTCAAATTTATGCACTAACCACTAAAGCAAGTGTTGATGAAATTAAAGAATTCTACCAACTTCTTCAGTCAGAAATTGATCAAACATGCAATCAAAATGTATTGCTAATTACTGGTGATCAGAATGCAAAGGTTGGAAATAAAGAGCAAGAATTAATAGTTGGAAAATACAGCATTGTTGGTAGAAAAGATGCTGGATATCGTGTGAGAATTTTGCAAGACTAATGACTTCTTCAATGCAAGTACCTTTTTAAAACAACATAAAAGATGACTATACATATGGATTTCACCAGGTGGAATACACAGAAATCAAATTGACTACATCTGTGGAAAGAGGCAGTTTGAAAGCTCTGAATCAGCCAAAACCAGGCCTGGGGCAGATTGGAACAGACCATTGCTCATATGCAAATTCAGGCTGAAGAAAATTAGAAGTCTGTGAGAACCAAAATATGACCTTGAACATTTTCCACCTGAATTTATAAATCAACTCAAGAATAGATTTGATGAATTAGACACTAATGACCGAAAACTAGAAGAGTTGTGGGATGACATCAAGAACATCATATAGGAAGAAAGCAAAAGGTCATTAAGGAGACAAGAAAGAAAAGATCAAAGTTGATGTCAGAAGAGACTCTGAAACTTGTTCTTCAGCATAGAGATGCTAAAGCAGATGAAGAAATGAGGAGGTAAAAGAGCTGAGCAGAAAATTTCAAAGGTCAGCTTGAGAAGACAAAGTCAAATATTAAGAAATGTGCTAAGATTTGGAATTAGAAAACCCAAAGAGAAGAAAATGCTGAACATTTCTCATACTGAAAGAACTGAGGAGAAAAATCTCAAATGAGAAACGTACATACCTCCTAGATTTTTCATATAGTGAATCCACTTTGTGTATTTATCACTTTGATCAATAATACTAGCCTCTCCTTGTAAAGGTAACTGATACCCTGACTCCTATCACCACAGATTAGTTTTCCTGTTTTTGAACTTTATGTATAGTTCACATACTCTTTTGCCTAGCTTCTTCTGTTCAACATTATGTTTGTAAAATCATTCTTGTAATACGTAGCACTTTTTTTTTTTTTTTTTGGTTTTGTCAAATATTTTATTGACTGTACTGTAAAACATGCATTATCTGTACATTCAAAAAGGAGCAAGCCACCTTGTCCTCACTGTCAAATGTGTCAGCTTGGCATACATGATGGAGATTAATGAAGTATCATGAGAGTAGTATGGTTCCTGAAAAGCTTCTACAATTTGAAGGAGGGTCTTAATCACGTGAAAAGGGAAGTGTTCACATTTAGTGAACCTGCATTTCATTGGAGCTATACAGTATTTGGTGGAGTCCTGGTGTGGTGCTGTGACTTAATGCACTAGACTGCAAAGTTAAGTCATTTGAATCGCAAGGTCAGTGGTTCAAGCTCACCAGTAGCTTCTTGGAAACCCTATACAGGGTCGCTATGGGTCAGAATCGACTCTACGGCACTTAACAACAACATACAGTATTTGGTAGTGTAGTGGTTAATGAATCGGGCTGCTAACCTCAAGATCAGCAGTTTGAAACTACCAGATGTTCCGCAGGAGAAAGATGAGGCTTTCTGCTCCCATAAAGATTTGAAGCCTCGGAAACCCTGTACCGGGTCACTATGAGTCGGAACCGACTCCATGGTACTTAACAACAACAACATACAGTATTTGTCATCTTAAAACAAATAAAAATAATTTTGTTTGTAGAAGATTACCACCCTGCCCCCAACTTTATTTGTCCCTCTAGTTTTCAGAAATTTTAATAAAAAAAAAAAATTACAAGTCTTTTGGAAATTGTGTTTATCGGAGCAGTAACTGAAATTTACTCTTTGGTTACTGAGGTGTATTGAATTTGAAGAAGATAATATCTCCGTGTTCAGCAATATAATTTCTGCCTTGCCTGTACTTTCCAGCAGCCTTCACTGCATTTTCAGAACCTTCTTCTTTAAAATGTTCGTATTTCGTTACTTCAGCCATAATGAACCCCTTTTCAAAATCTGTGTGAATCTTTCCTGCATCCTGAGGAGCCTTCGTCCCTCTCCTGATGGTTAACGCACGCAGTCCATCTGGGCCTGCAGTGAAAAAGTATTATTGTTGAAGTGCTGAAAACCCAGCTTCTTAATAGTTGTTGGCAAAGCTCTTTGTGTCATGTTTGCTTCCAGATACTTCTGTCGCTCCTCAGCACTCAATTCTTGAAACTTGAGTTGCAGGGCCCCACTAAAAGGAATGACCAAGGCACCTGGGTCATACTTGTCCATCCACTCTTTGATTTTGTTTTTCTTTCTAATGTAGTCTTTTTTCAGGAAGATTAAATATAGACCATTGGTTTTGAAGTCAGAAATAAGTGTTTATTCAAAACTTCAATCTCTTTGTCATTCCAGTCATGATAGAAGGGACAGGTTTCTTCTGATCTACAACCCATGATTTGACTTCGCACATTATGTCATACTCGGGTTTTAGTTGTTGTTTTTCCTCCTCTCACAGCCACCTTGTCTAGTTTATCTATAGTTGGCCCAAACATTTTCTCATCTTTGAGCTGAAGCACTTCATGTATTAAATCTGTATCTCAAATAGGATCTATATTTCTTCAACATGTGTGATATTATCTTCAAATGTGTAAGATGAAAGATTCCATCACAAGCACTATTATGAGATACAAAGGCATTTCCCAGCCCCTGTCCATTGTGAGCGCCTGTCACAAGGCCAACAATATCTACTCCATTTAGAAAGGCAGGAATTTTGCTTGCTGGTTAGTGGTACTGGCACAGAAAATCAAACCTCTCATCGGGCACAGATACTCTGCTCTCATGAGGATCAATAGTGCAGAATGGGAAATTTTCTGCTGAAGCCCGACAATTGGTTAATACTTTGAAGAAGGTGGATTTCCCAACATTTGGCAATCCAACAATACAGATTTTCAGGGAGGTTTCCAAATCTTCCAGTGGTTGGTGTTGTTAAGTGCTGTCAAGTCAGTTCTGACCCATAGTGACCCTGTATATAGGGTTTCCAAGGAGCAGCTGGTGAGCCTGAACCAGCTGTTTGCAGTTCAAATAGCTTTGCAGTCTGGTGCATTAACCCACAGTGCCACACCAGACTCCCATATTGCATCCTGCTTGGGACAGATGATGACTCAGGGTCCTAGCAACAGTACTACTGGCAGCGAGAGGCGGGGAGGAAGGAGGAGCACTTCATTAATTTTTATTGCTCTCTGGTATCTGTTATATGAATATTTATTCATTTTAGTGTTGATGAATGTAGGGTTGTTTCCTTATGCTGCCGTGAACATCTTTGTGTATCTTTTGGATTGCATATTTGGTGCATTTTAATTCATTATATGTGTCATTAGGTAGTATGCATAAGTTTAGCTGTGCTTTGTTGTTGAGTGCTGTCGAGTTGGTTTGACTCATTGCGACCCTATACAGGGTTTCCAAGGAGCTGCTGGTGGGTTTGAACCGCCGATCTTGCAGTTAGTAGCTTAGTGTTTATGCTACAGCACCATACCAGGAGTCCTTAGCTGTGGTTTGTTGTTGTTGTTAAGTGCCATCAAGTCGATTCCAACCCATAGCAACCCTGTAGATGTTGCCAAGTTGTAAAGTAGTTGTACAAATTTACATTCTCAACATTGGTATGTGAGAGCTATACTTGTCTCCTAATCTCTACTTGGTATTGTCTTTTTAAATTTAGCCACCCTTGGCTACAATTTGTTATATAGTATAGTTGTTGAATGAATTGAAAGCAGTCTTTGAGTATTTATATAACATTAGGAAATTTAGTTACATTATTATACATCTATGTCATATAGTGGTGGTTGGTTGGTGGTAATGTGCCGTGGAGTCGGTTCTGACTCATAGCGACCCTGTACAGGGTTTCCGAGGTTGTAAATCTTTACGGGAGCAGAAAGCCTCATCTTTCTCTTGCGGAACAGCTGGTAGTTTCGAATTGCTGACCTTGTGGTTCGCAGCACTATTTGTAACCCCTCTGCTATCAGAGCTCCTTACATGTCATATAGTATGGTCATTCAAAATGATGTTTATAGAAGTGTGTTTTCTTAAATATTATAGTTTTTTTTAAAGTAGAATATGCTCATAATAAACATTGAAAAATTTCAAAACGTTATGTAAATGTGGTATAAAAGTGAAGGTCTCTGGTAATCATTGCTGATATCAGATAGATCTTGACTGAAAGCAAAGAATTCCACAAAACTGAATCAAAGCAAATCATGGATAACATTGCTCAGAATTGGGAATTCGAGAACAGTTAGCTGTGTTCATATGGAACCTGTACACAAACCATGAGGCAGTGGTTCATATAGAACAAGGTTGTATACATGGTTCAAAATCAGGAAAGGTATATGACAGGGTTGTATTCTTTCGCTGTACTTATTCAATCTGGATCCTGATCAAATAATCTAGAAGCTAGACTTTATGAGGAAGAATGCAACATCTGGATTGGAGGAAGATTCATTAACAACCTGCAATATGCAGGTAATTCAACCTTGTTTGCTGAAAATGAAGCACTTAACTGATGAAGATAAAAGATTATAGTTTTAAGTATGGATTACACCTCAAGATCAAGAAAAAAATCCTCACAACTGGTCCAATAAACAATACCATGATAATTGATAAAAGATTAAAGCTGTCAAGGAATTAATTTTATTTTGATCCATGAGTGATACCCATTTAAGCAGCAGTCTGGAAATTAACCAACATAGTGCATTGGGCAAATCTGCAAAAGATTTCTTTAAAGTGTTAAAAAGTAAAAATGTCATTTTTAAAGACCAAGATTGCCTGATTCAAGCTTTCTATGTGTGCTAAAATTGAACAATGAATAAGGACAACTGGAGAATTGATTTGCCTTTGAATTATTGTGGTAACAAAGAAAATTAATATGCTGTACTTAGAGAGGAGTCCTGGTGTGGCACTTTAGGATAAGCCCTAGACCGTCAGTTCAGTTTGAACCACAAGGTTGGCAGTTCAAACCCACCAGTCACTCCTCAGAAGCCCTTTATAGGATTGCAATGAGTTGGAGCCAACTCGACTTGACAACAGTAATACTTACAGAAGAATGAACAAATCTGTGTTGGAAGAAGTACAGCCAGAATACTCGATAGAAGCAAGGATGATCAGACTTTGCCTCACATAGTTTAGACATGTTACCAGGAGGAACCAATGTCTAGAGAAGGAAAACATGCTTGGTAAGAGTAGTTTTTGTTGTTGTTAAGTGTTGTCAAGTCGGTTCCAACCCATAGTACCCTGTACAGGGTATCCGAGGCTGTCAATCTTTACGGGAGCAGAAAGCCTCATCTTTCTCCTGCGGGGAGTGGCTGGTAGTTTCGAACTGCTGGCCTTAATGTTCGCATCCCGATTCGTAACCACTACACTATCAGAGCTCCTTTGGTAAGAGTAGAGGGTCAATGAAAAAGAGGTAGACCCTCAACTCGATGGATTGACCATAGTGGCTGCAACAATGGGCTCAGACAGGCATGATAGTGAGGCTGGCCTCAGACTGGGCAGTGTTTCACCTGTTGTACATAAGGTCGTTAATGTTGGAACCAACTCAACAAAGATGGACATTGTTCACAGCTGATGTGCATGGTTTTAGTGTACATATTCAGACACACACATCTATCCATTATTCTGCAGCTGGCTTTTCTCATTTAATCATATTTCATGGACATCTTTTTAGGTCAGTTTACAAATTCTGTTTTCTTTTCAATGACTGCTTAATATTGTACCACACTGAGACGCCATGGTTGATTTTTTTTACCCCCATCTACTTAGGTGAGCGTTTGGGTTATTGTTGATGTTGTTAAGTGCCGTCGAGCTGGTTCCGACCCATAGCGACCCTGTACAGGGTTTCCGAGGCTATAAATCTTTATAGGAGCAGAAAGCCTCATCATAGGAGGAGGGTATTTATTAACTTGAGAAGACGCTCACAAGATAGTAATAAGAAAGTAAGCTGCAGATGAGTAAGTACAGTATACTCCCTGTTTTGCTTTAAAGTTAGCCACACATCTAAAGATACATAGACTTATGCAAAAGCCACATGAAGTTTTTTTTTTTTTTTTTTTTTCGCAGTTGTCTTTTTATCCTTGGTCTTATCTTCATTTAAGGATTCCTGGTGGCATAGTTACTTCAGCATTAGGCTGCTAACAGAAAAGTTGGTAGTTTGAACCCACCAGCCACTCTGCAAGAGAAAGGTGAAACATTCGGTTTCTGTAAAGATTTGCAGCCTTGGAAACACTGTGTAGCATTCTGTTCTTTCCTATAGAATCTCTATGAGTTGGAATCGACTTGATGGTGGGTTTGTTTTCATTTTTTTGAATGATTTTGTAATATAAATTTGTAATAACAAAGAAACGACAGAAGTCATTTACTTGGGTTGATCAAGTCTTACCCTTTTACCTCTCTAAGCTGTTGGTCCTTTGAAATAGAATTGAGGTAGGAATGCCATCTAATTCTGAACTTTCCTGCTAGTTACTTACAAAGCCCCCTTTTCTAGGCCAGCTTCACCCCGATGGAGGACAAACTCAATCAGGCGCACCTTGAGGTCCAACAGCTGAAGGCATCAGTTAAGAATTATGAGGGGATGATTGACAACTATAAGAGTCAGGTATGTCTCTCAGTGCCCTGGACCCCCTTTGAGGAAAGAAAATGCCTTTCCCCACATCCCTTTCAGGTTGGGAGGTTTCCACAAGGCCTCTTCTAGGAAGGGTGGATGTAGGTGTTTCTCACCAAAACTTTGCTCTGCCCAAAATAATCTGATATGTTGCTGGTTCCTAGGTAATGAAGACCAGATTAGAGGCTGATGAAGTGGCTGCCCAGCTGGAACGCTGTGACAAAGAGAACAAGATCCTTAAGGATGAGATGAACAAAGAGATTGAAGCGGTACTTCTCCCTTTCTTTGCTTCTTTCCATCCCGAGCTAGAACTGTCCCTCCTGTATGCCTTTGACCCTCCCTGATTCAGACACAAAGATTGGTTTTTTTCTTTATTGGCGGTCTGCGGCACTCTTGCGTGTATGTGTTCTTTCTCTGTTTCTTGACTCCTGTCTTCTCATCCTGCTGCCTCTTTTTCTCTTTTCCCCTCTGGTTTTCTTTTTCCTTTTCAATTTCCTTAAAAACAGAACTATTTTGTTCAGAGCATCCAAATGGACTTAAATCTGCAGGTAGAATATCTTTTAGGTATGCCTATTTAATTTTTATTTTTTTAAATTTTTTATGTTTTACTGTGAATTATATGATAGTTTACATGGGAGAACATTAGTTTTACATTCATCCTATCGTATATCGTTTCATTGCCATGGTTCCAATCCCCTCTATGCATCATCAACCAACCAAAGGGTATACCCTGCAAGCCTGCCCCCTACACTACTCCCCCCCACCCCCAGTCTTCAGCACACAGTCCCTCTCCCTCTCTGAATCTAAACTTCCCAGCTGCTCCATCGCTCCACGTCATCATCTCTGCCTCCATCTCAAGCATCGCTGCTTCTCTGGGTAGGGTCACGCTCTCCGCTCTTCTCCCTTCATGGTCCCAGGGACCTCCACTCCTAGACTGGAAAGTTAATCATTCCCTGCCTTGCTACAAAATATCTACCTTTACTTTTCCAACCCTCACAGTCAGTCCTGATAACAATTATTCACTATTGTACCACAAGAGATCTATCCGCATTTCATTTTATCAGCTCCGCCTAGACAAATTGGATAGTACTCACTGGAAATTCTGCCTTCCTCCAGGCCCCCTGGCTCTAGGTTCCCTCTTGAAAGCTTGTAAGCCAGTCACTTCTTGCCTTTGTTGGCCCCCCATTTTTGATAGCCAATGTCCAAGTTGCCCATCCCTGTCTACTCTGCGTCATTTGATTTCTTGACTGCTGCTTCCATGAGTATTGATAGTTGATCCAAGAAGAATGAATTCCTTGATAACTTCAGTCTTTTCTCCATTGATAAGAGTGTTGTTTATTTGTCCAGTGGTGAGGATTTTTGTTTTCTTTACTTTGAGATGCAATACATACCAAAGGCTGTGGTATTCCTCAGTAAATATTTTAAGTCCGTTTCACTTTCAGCAAGCAAGGTTGTATCATCTGCGTATCGCAGGTTGTTAATGAGTCTTCCTCTAGTCCTGATGCCAAATTTTTCTTCTCTAGCTGAGTAGCCTTGGTTAAATTGACAACTTCGCTATCTTGAGCCTCAATTTGCTGACCTAGAAAATTGGGAATAATAGCACCTGCTCAGTGAATTAAATGAGCAGCTGCAGAGAGCCTTAACACATGGATCCTGGCGCTTACTCCTGGTGCTTACTGCATGGTTGCTATTATTTAATAACAGAATGAGGGCAAGCTCAAGTGTTAGTCCGGCCTAGTGTATTACCTAAGAGAGCAGCTAGGCATCTACTTAGTGGTTGGCAGTGAGGTCAGGCCACACCCCTGTCGGTGAATTTTGCAGGATCTTCTGAGAATGGAGGGCAGCCCATCCTGATTTCAAAGGACTCTGCCTGGCTCCACAAGCAGCCCCGGCCCTTCCCAATGGTGGACATTCTCTGTCTTTCCAGGCTCGTCGGCAGTTCCAGTCCCAGCTGGCTGACCTACAGCAGCTGCCTGACATCCTCAAGATCACAGAGGCTAAGCTAGCTGAATGCCAGGACCAACTGCAGGGCTATGAGAGGAAGAATGTTGACCTCACAGCCATCATATCAGACCTGCGCAGCCGGGTAAGGGACTGGCAGAAAGGTTCCCACGAACTGGCCCGAGCAGGGGCCCGCATACCAAGATGAGCTGCATGCCCCCCAAGGGAGGACCACTTCCTTTTTCTTGGCTCCCGCTTTCTGAAAGGAGTGAGCTATCATCAGTGCTGTGAAATAAAAGTCTGGTGTGCCAAATGCTTCGTGTTGCACATAGTGATTATAGTTATAGGAGCCGTCATTCACTTGGATGGTTGGGCCCTCCTGCTCTTGCCCCATACCTGAGTGCTCCCACTCTCTGCTTGCCTCCTGCCCTTCATGCCTTTAGTCTCACACACACACATACACAAGTGAGACAGGAGCCAACTCCAAGATATAGAGTTACTTTTTCCCAAGCTCTCTTGTTTTAACAAACCCTTCCCTTACTCTTAACAGATCTGTTGACTGAGCTTCTGCCCGAAAGAGGGCTCCCTCACTCGGAGAAGCAAGGGAGCAAGGTTACTGGTACCATGCCTCCTCTGTCCAGAAAGTTATATGTCACTCATTTGCAGTGTGACCTTGGGAAGCCTTCCCCGTCTCTTGACCTACTCCCTTGTAAAAAGGATAAATGTAGCTATCTGCTAAAAGTATGTGCTCTGTGTTCTACATCAAATAAGCAATTTACTGATATTTCAATTCACCCAGGAACTCTGTGAAGTGTAGATGTTATCATTTGTAGAGAAGAAACCAAGGCATAGAGGGGAAAAGTCATTTCCTAAGGCCAGAGAGCTAATTACACGAGCCAGTTTCCAAACCCCTACTATCTATCCTCTTCTCTGTTGTATCTGAACATCCTCGATGACTGAGGCTTCTGCGTAAAGTAGTCCTCTGTCCTCTGTCCTCTGAGTAACTTCTTAAACTTGCCAGCCTTAAAATATTGAAAGATTTCCTGTTGCCTTGCTTACAGCTTGTCCCCAGTTAAGTGGAGAAAGAAATAATGATCAACGTAATTAATAAAGACAGACACTCCAGGGGGTGCCATGTGGGCCAACTGGGCTACTACTGCTTCTGCCTTCTCATGTCTAGTGTCATTCTCTGCTGGGTGACTCAGTTTGGCCTCCCCTGATAAGACAGCATTCTTGTGGTTCTTCAGGATCAACTCTCACTTCTCTTGGGATGCGAAAGTCTTTCGTCTTGGGAGTTGTGCCTAACCTTTTCCTGCTCTCTCTCCTCCAGGTTGTATACCGAGACCTGGACACCTGCTGAGGGCAGCATGCCTCTTGCCTGGGTGTGGATGACAGGTCATAAGGCAAAGAAGTTCTTTCATAAACCAGTCTGTGTTCCTGTCATTTTAGATCGAACACCAGGGGGACAAGCTGGAGATGGCGAGAGAGAAACATCAGGCTTCCCAGAAGCAAAATAAACAGCTGAGTCTGAAGGTGGATGAACTGGAGAGGTTAGAGGCACTTGGTCCCATCTCTGTCCTCTTCCTAGGACCTGCAACTTTTCAGCCACTTAGCTGCTTTGTGTTCAGTGTGCTGAAGTGTTTGCGGGACTCATGGCCCTGGATGGTACTAGGCAGACTTCAGGGGAGAAGCTGCTTCCATTTCAGTGGTAAGTGTCATGGGAGAGAGAGGAAGGTGGTCTCTTAGCTTGGGGGGATGCAGCACAAGATGAAGATCAGACCACCTAGAAGCATCAGAAAGACATGCTTTACCCAAGCAGGACCTAGCTAGAGTGGAAAAGCCAAATACACTATGATGAGGGCATTTCTCCCTCATTTTGTTCTTTGTTCCTGGTCATCCTTCCCTGATACCTTTCTGTCTGGCTCTTTTGTTAAACTTCTGGATTGTTGAAGGCAATCAGCAGTGAAGAGTTTACCTGTTGGAATTAGAACCCCTGGCCTTGAGTCCTAGCTCTGCCACTTAACTGTTTGGTGATCTTGAACAAATAATTTCACCCCCTTTCAACCTCAGTTTCCTCATCTTTAGGAAGGGTTCAAGATTGGGGTGATAATTTAGCTTATGGAGTTATTGTGAGTCTTCATCAAGATAATGCCTTATAAGGCATAGAGAAATGTTCAATATGTGTTAGCTGGATTTATTCCACTTTTAAATATGAGAAAACTGAGGCTAGGAGAGAGGTTAAGTGACTTAGCCAAGGTCACACAGCTGTACTGGCAAAGCTGTGACTAGAGCTGTGCTTGCATTCCTTCAAAGTTCATCTTCCCAACCAAACCCACTGCTGTTGACGCAAAGTGACCCTTAAAAGACAGAACTGGCCCCATCTCTCCCATAGCACGGCTGGTGGGTTTGAATCACCAACCTTTTCTTTAGCAGTTGAGCATTTAACCACTTCATAACCAAGGCTCTTCAAAGTTTGTGTTAGCATCTGTAAATGGAGGCTGGAGATCCTTGGCAATGGGCAGGCTTTAATTTCAGAGATGAAGGGCTTGAGGCCCTAGGAAGCTGTAACTGCCCAGATGGTGGGCTAATGTACCAGGAAGCAGGGATTTGAATCAGGTGGACTGAGTCTCTGTTCACCTCCTTAAATTGGAAGGTGCTCTGGAAGTACATCAGGATAGTCACCTGAGGTGTTGAGAGGTCCAGCTGAAGTCCTTTTGTGAGACAGCAGTGAATAGTAGAAGTTGGAAGCATGGGTTGGGGAGACAGACCTGCCCTCTGTGTTGACCTTGGGCCAATGATTTCACCTCTCTGAGACTCTGTCTTCATTTGTAAAATGTGGACAATAACACTACACCCCGTGCTGTAAGTTTCTGTGTTATGTGTGGTGATATGCACACTTGCACAGCCTGTGGTCGTCCATACTTGCTTTTCCCCCTCTTCCTACTGTATTCTAACCAGCTTCTCCAGTTATACAGTTCCTTGGCTGTCTTACTGATCTACAAATCTTGGTCGATTACTCTGGCTCCTTGGAGATTCTCGGCGTGATGAGAGCCTCGATCCCGAAGTGGCTGACCGCCCCCTGGTGGGATGAAACAGAACAGGTGGGAATATGAGGAAATCTGATTGACTGCTTTCACCTAGGAAACTGGAGGCGACCAGTGCCCAGAACATAGAGTTCCTACAGGTGATTGCCAAGAGGGAGGAGGCCATCCATCAGTCCCAACTGCGGCTGGAAGAGAAAACCCGAGAGTGTGGGACCTTGGCAAGGCAATTGGAGAGCGCTATTGAAGATGCTAGAAGGCAGGTAAGTCTCAGTTCCATTATTACCTAGCTCTGTGACCTTGGTAGATCACCTAACCTCTCTGAGCCTACTTTCCCATCTGCCCCTCAAAATCCATTGTCATCGAGTAAATTCTGACTCATAGCAATCTGATAAGACAGAGTAGAACTGCCCCATAGTGTTTCCAAGGCTGTACATCTTTGCAGAAAAAGCTTGCCTGCCGCATCTGTCTCCTTCTGAGAGGCTGTTGGGTTCAAATCACCAACCTCTTGGTTAGCAGATGAAGGTTTAACCACTCTGTCACCAGGGCTTTTGCCCCATCTTAAAATCAGGCTGAATCATAGTGCCTGCCTCATGTATTTGTTTTATGGATCAAATAAGTAATTATTGTAAGGGGCTTAGCACTTTATTCATGATGAATGTGATGTAATTGCTGCTTTGTTGTGACTCAAGCAGGTATACCACATCTTTTATGAGGAGTCAGAGGCATTGAGACGGGGCAGGTGAAGCTCGATAGAGAAGTAGAACCTATAGCTTCTCCTGCCCTGAGCCTCCAGAGACTCTGAGCTGATATGCACATGCTGTCTGTGAGTCTCAATAGTGGAAGTGGTGCAGCCTTCTCTTTGCCAGCTGTCCCTAGGTTAGGGGAGGACAGCCCTACTTCTGTGTCTTCTGTGCAGGTGGAGCAAACCAAGGAGCATGCAGTCTCCAAGGAGCGAGCAGCCCAGAATAAAATCCTGGATCTTGAGACCCAGCTAAGCAGGACCAAAACAGAACTCAGTCAGCTGCGGCGGAGCCGTGATGATGTGAGTTGTGCTGGTGGGCAAGGAGCTAGACAAATGGGGAAAGGATTGAGATTTTAACCTTCTTCAGGCTTGCAGGACAAGATGGTGGTGGTTGTGGTGAATAGTGGTTTAATAAATATGCCATGGTTTTCTTTTTCTCCAAATAAATTCCCGTTTTTTAAGGATATCTTGGGCAGCATCCCCTTCTCCCCTTTCTTAACACTTTTATTAAGATACTCTGTTAATACCATCACAAGGTCAGCAGTTGAAACTACCAGCTCCTTCGTGGGAGAAAGATGAGGCTTTCTGCTCCCGTAAAGATTTACAGCCTCGGAAACCCTATTCAGGGTCACTGTGGGTCGAAAACAATGGTACTTAACAAAAACAACAACATGTTCATACCATAAAATACATTCATTCAAGTTGAACAGTTCAGTCATTTTTAATGTATTCAGAGAGTTATAAAATACCACCACAATTTGCATTTAGAACATTTTCAGAAAGAAATCCCAGACTCATAAGCCACATGAGTTGATGCTAAGCAGTGCCCAGCCTCAGAATGTTGTGGGTTCTTTACCCAGGCCGGTGAACCACAGCCTCCATAGTCCTTGGTGGTGGTGGTGGTGGTGGTGGTGGTGCTGGTTAATGTGCCATGTATAGGGTTTATTAGGCTGTAAATCTTTATAGCAGAAAGCCTCATATCTTTCCTGTGTCGCTGCTGGTAGATATGAAACTGCTAACTAACCTTGAGCCCAACTCATAACCCACTATGCTTCCAGAGCTCCTTCCTATAGTCCTTGGCAACCATTAATAAAATCTCTATGGATTTGTTTATTTTGAAAATTTAACTTAAAGTGAAATAATAGAATATGTAATTTTTTTATGACTGAGTTCTTAGCATAACATTTTAAGGTTCACTCATGTTATAGCATGTGTGATAGCTCAAGTTTTATGTCACCTTGACTGGGCCAGGATTCTTAGTGAGTGGATCAGCAGTTAAGATATAGGAATCCCCCATAATGAGATTTAATATAATCACTTCGATGATGAGATATCTGCTGTGAGCAGCCAGTCATTTGAAAGAAGTTTCCTTGAGGGTGTGGTCTGTAACATCTTCCATTTTTGTAAAGATAAAAGGAGAGAGAAGTGAGCAGAGAAAAAAAGAAGCAAGAAAGAAGAGCCAGAAGTGGAATGTGTCCTTTGGACCTGGGGTTCCCTGTGTCGTGAAGCTTCTAAATCCAGGGCAAGATTGATGCCAAGACATATGGGGATCTCCAAGGAACGCTGGGCCTAGAGTTGCTAGAAGGAGATAAAGACCTTTCCCAGAGATGACACAGAGAGAAAATCTTCCCCTAGAGCAAGCATTCTGAATTTGGACCTTTACCCCCTAAACTGTGAGAGAATAACTTTCTTGTTGTTAAGACCATCCACTTGTAGTATTTCTTTTATAGCATCACTAGAGAACTAAGCATGTATCAGAACTTCACACTTTTTTATTGTCATTTATTATTTCATCATGTTGGTAGATCATAGGTTGTTTATGTATTACCAAATGATGGATGTTTGAGTTGTTTTTTGTTATGAACTGTCATGAACTCTTCTGTACAAGTTTTGTGTGGACGTGTTAAATACACAGCAGGGTCATAGTATCCCAAAATAATATCATATCCATTGCCATCCAGTCGATTCTTATTCATTGTAACCTATACTTTTTGTTTTTAAGTTGTTTTTTTTTTGAGTTGTTACTGTTGTGTGGTGCTATCATGTGGGTTTCAACTCACATTGACCCTATGCATAACAGAACAAAATACTGCCTGGTCCTAAACTACCCTAACAATTGTTGTTACCCTTGAGCCCATTGTTAATGTGACCTATACATTTTTGAGGAACTGCTAGACTGTTTTCCAAAGTAGCAGCACTATTTTACACTCCCACTGGCAGTGTATAAGACTTCCAGATGTTCCGCATCCTGGACAATACCTGCTTTCCCTTTGTTTTATAATAGCCATCCTAGTGTCTATTGAATGCCTAGTGGCACAGAAGGCATTGACTCCATGAACTGAAAGAGTTGTTAATTGAAATGTTTAAACAAACTATGTATTTGCTGGAGGTGTTCCCTCGTCTATGCCAAGAAATTTGAAAGACATCTACTTGGCCATCCAACTAGGAGAGAGCCATATTCATACCCATTTCAAAGAAAGATGATCCAAAAGAATGCAGACATTATTAACCAGTATCATTAGTATTACATATAAGTAAAATTTTACTGAAGATAATAAAAAAATGGTTGTAGCAATACATCTACAGGGAACTTCCAGAAATGCAAGCTGGATTGAGACAAAGTCATGTAATGAGGGACATCATTGCTAATATCAGATTAATCTTGGCTGAAAGCAGAGAATACCAGAAAGATATTTAGTATATTTTTCTGACTGTGCATAGGCATTTGACTCTATGGGTCAGAATAATTTATGGATAATACTGTGATGAAGGGGTTATTCCGGAACACTTAATTATGCTCAGGAGGAACCTTTACGGAGACCAAGAGGCAGTGGTATGAACAGAACAGGGGATAGATACTGTATGGTTTGAAATCAGGAAATATGTGCTTCACAGTTCCATCCTTTCACCATATTTATTCAATCTGCTGAGCAAATAAACCAAGAAGCTGGTATATTTGAAGAATGTGTCATCAAGTTTGGAAGAAGACTCCTTAAAGAAAACAAAAATCCTCACAACTGGACCAGTGAGCAACATTATGATGTTGCTACATGCCAGTGAATCTGTCTGACCCATAGCAAACCTATATGGGGTTTCCAAGGAGCAGCACTGGTAGGTTTGATCTGCCGACCTTGTGGTTAGAGTCCAGTGTTTATCCTACAGTGCCACACCAGGACTCAATGTCCTGTTAAATGAAGAAAGTATTGGTATTGTCAAGAAATTTACTATGCTTGGATCAAATATCAACACCCATGAAAGAAGCAGTCAAGAAATTCAACAATATATTGCATTGGGCAAATGTGCTACAAAAGACTTATTTAAAGTGTTAAAAAGCAAAGGGATCTCTTTGAAGATAAGGGTACTCCTGACCTACACCCTGGTATTTTCAGTTACATTTTATGCATGTGAAAATCGGACAGTGAATAAGGAATACAAAAAAAAAAAAAAGGATGCCTTTGAATTGTGGTTTTGGTTAAGAACATTGACTTTTATCATGAATTGCAAGAAGAATGAACAACCTGTGTTGGAAGAAGTACAACCAGAATGCTACTTAGAAACAAAGATGGTAAGACTTTGTCTCATGTACTTTGGAAAAGTGTTATCAAGAGGAACCAGTCTCTGGAAAAAAGGACATTTCTCTTGGTAAGGTAGAGAGAGAGGGTCAATGAAAAACAGTAAGACTCTAATGAGTGGCAGCAACAGTGGGCTCAAACATAGGAACCATTGGGATGATGGTTCAAGACTGATGAGTATTTGATTCTGTTATATGTAGTGTCCTGGTATGGCACTATGCAATAAAGCACTGGACCACAGAGATGATTTGAGCCACGAGGTCGGCGGTTCAACTCACCATCATTCCTTGGAAAACTATACACTAGAACCTGACTATGAGTCAGAACTGACTCAACAGCACTAAACAACAATGACATACATAGGGTCACTATGAGTTGAAATGGACTCAATGGCACCTGACAAGCAATGTTAACATCCTGTTGTTGCTCAGTGCTGTTGAGTAGATTCCGACCCATAGTAACCCCGTATAGGGTTTCCAAGGAGCAGCTGGTGAGTTTGACCCACCGACCTTGCAGTTCAAATGGCTTTGCAGTCTGGTGCGTTAACCCACAGCTCCATACCAGGACTCCTACTAGGTGTGAAATGGTATCTCATTATGGTTTTGATTTGCATTGTCCCTAATGACTTCTAATGTTGAACATCTTGCTGGCCACTTATATTTCTTCATTAGAGAAATGTCTATTCAAATCCTTGGCCCATTTTAGAATTGAGTTATTTTTCTTGTTGAATTATTAGCATTTTTTTTTTTTTTTGCATATATATTCTGGCTTCAAGCCCCTTAACCAAATAAATTAATTGTAAATATTTTCTCCCATTCTGTGGATTGTCTTTTCAATTTCTTGATAATGTTGTTTTTGAAACACAAAATTTTGATGAAGTCCTGTTTAATTTTTTTTTCTTTCTTCTTTCTTTCTCATGTGCTTTTTATATTACACTTAAGAAACAATTTCCTAACCCATGATTTTGAGGAGTTACTCCTATTCTTTCTTCTAAGACTTGTATAGTTATAGCACTTACATTTAGGCCTTTGAGCCAGTTTGAGTTAATTTTTGTATAGGATGCAGCGTAAGGGCCCGACATCTTTCTTTTTCATTTGGATAACCAATTGTCCTAGCATCATTTGTGGAAAACACTATTCTTTTTCCTTTGAATTGCTTTGGCACCCTTGTTGAATATCAGTTGACCATAAACATTAGGGTTTGTGAACTCTCAAATTTGATATACGTCTGTCTTTATGCCAGTACCACTTGTAGTAAGTTTTCAAGTTGAGAAGTATGAGTCTCCTAATTTTGTTCTTTTTTCATGATTATTTGGTTATTTTGGGTTTCTTACATTGTGAATTTTAGGAACAGCTTACCAATTTCTGCAGGTTTGAACCAGCTAAGAATTTTGCTTGAGATTATGTTGTCTTTAGATCATTTTGGAGAGTATTGCCATCTGACCAGATTATGTCTTTTGATTTGTGAGCACATTATGTAGGATGTGGCTTCAAAAAGTTAGTGAAAAAATTCCATTCTCTTTTCATTCCATTTGTCCATGAACTTTTTGAAGTCCCATCATATTTCTATTTATTTGGGTCTTTAATTTCTTTCAACAGTGTTTTATAGTTTTCATAGCACAAATCTTCTACTTAAAATTTTTTCCCTAAGTGTTTTAACTCTATTGTAAATAAGGTGAAGACTTACAGAGCAGATCTTTTTTCTGTTCAACAGTTCATACACACTTTGTTTCATGTTACTGACTGCACTCTCCACAATACAACATCACTTATTCTACTTCCTCCCTGCTTCCTGTTACTGGTCCTTCTTTTTTAACCTGTCTGAAATTTGCCCTTGGATAATTGCTGTCTTTTTTTACCTCAAAGTGTGCATACCTCCTTAGTGTTATTGTTCTACTTATAAAACTTAATATTATCTGTCTGAAAAGTGAGCCATGGGGTGAGCTCATGTCTGGATCTGAAGGGTACCTAAGGGCCATAGTCCTAGGGTTCCACTAGTCTCTATTAGACCAGTAAGCCTCGTCTTGTTATGATTTGGGGTTTTGTTGTACATTGTCTCCCACTCTACTCAGGACCTTCTAATGTAATCCCTTTCAGAACAGTTACTAGTGGTAGCTGACAGAGTCCATGTCAGTTTAATTTAATTTCTTCTATTCCCTCAGCTCCTTGCTTAACCCAAGGCTTATGAGAGACCTATATGGATCTTTGGTCCATTCTTCTTTTCCTGTTTTCTTTCGCTATAGATCCTCTGTTGGATTTTGGGAGGAGAGAAAAAGAGGGCCAATCATGTCTGTTTTGCTGGGCCTGCAGTTCATTCTCTCCAGGTAGTGCCACTGACTGATACTGATGCCTTTCATGTGGCTGAGCTCCTTGAGGATTCCGCAGGGCCTCTTCACTGCATAGTGCCTTGTTGTGGGAGACTCAAGCTCGGTGCTGATTAATCTTGCTGCTTTCAGTTTCTGGCTGTGGTGTTACTCCCTCAGGTTGTCTTGCTGGGCTTCCTGTCAGGCAAGGTTTTCACATTGTTCTTTCCTAATATCGTGGGCATAATGATTTATTATTTCCTAATATCGTGGGCATAATGGGTTTTTAAATAGACTGAATACTAAAGTTATATTCCCATTTTATAAATGTGGAAACTGAATCTTAGCCCAGACAATATGACTACATAGTTTTCATTCATTGTAACTGTATAATAAATAACCTCTCATTTGACAAATAATTCATTGCTTTTTTTCCCCTTTTTTCAACCCTGGTCCTCAACTTTTTTGCCTCTGAGGCAGCCCTTTGCGAATCTGAAGTAGGCCATAGTATTTACGTTACCCTTTCCAAGTGCCCAAGTATCTCCAGACTTACATATATTTACAGGGTATTACATATCTCACACTTAAAAAAGCCCACAATGGACCAGGCACTGAGGGATATATATATATATATATAGAAAGAGAGATCAGAAGAAATCCAGTGTTTATGGGGGAAGACAGAAAAGTAAAACTGACTATTCCTGACTCTGCCTGCATCAACTGCGCTTGACTCATGCTCTCACTGTTTCTCCCTTTAGTCAGACCGTCGCTACCAGAGCCGGCTGCAAGACCTGAAAGATCGCTTGGAGCAGTCAGAGAGTACCAATCGAAGCATGCAGAACTATGTCCAGTTCCTCAAGTCATCGTACGCCAACGTGTTTGGCGATGGTCCCTACAGTACCTGCCTGACCAGTTCTCCCATCCGATCCAGATCTCCTCCTGCCTGAGGCCAGGAGTCCTGATTGTTATCATGGAAACTATGGAGTTGCCAAGCCACACCTGGAAAACCTGTTGGTTTTCCACTGTCTTCGGGTGATGAAATGTGGTTAGGGAATTGTCCTTAGCTACTGGCTCCAGAAAAGCCCCTAACGTAGCATGGGGATGAAGTGGTTCTTCATGATACCACTTGGTTCTCTTCTCCCTGATGTCAACCTCTTGAAAAATTTTTTTTATTACCTTGACAGGCCTTAAATTTACTACCCTGTGGTACCAGATTTTATCTCACGATGACCTTCATTCCTTTCCCCAGAGAATGTTTGGTCTATTCCTCCAGTCCTTTATAGTCAGCCCTCTTCTTCTGAGGACTCACCCTCCTACATTTTCTTTGACTTGCATCAATAGGAGCTGTTAGCTAGAGGATTTGCCTTCCTCTTCATCCCATCAACCCCTCCTGGGCATAAGCATCTTTACTTTATTTCTTATTTCATGGCTGCGGTGTTTTTCCCAAGGCTCCCTTCTTAAGTTCCATGGCTACTTTGCATGCCTAAGAGTTTTCTTGAGATCACCTGTCCCTTAGCACTTCACAAGATACACTCTAGGGCTCATGTCCTAAGTGTAACCCCAATCTCATTGTTTTATTTTGTTTCTGTTTGCCTGGTTTGTACCTATGGATTGTATTTGTTCTTGAAGTAGTTTGTGTTTTACAAAAAGCTTTTATAATCAGTATTTAAGGCTCTATTGAATGATTTCCATTACATATCCCATCCCTTTTTAAAAAAATGATTAATAAAACTCTGGGAATACTTTTATGAAGTGTTGCAGGAGAGCCAGTAAACATTTTTTAAAGTACTTGGTACATGGAACAGTAGGCATTTCATTTTGAGCCAGATTTTTTCTCCTTATGTGCTTTCACAGTATAATCCTGTGAGATGTCTAGAGGAAACAGACTTTGTGTAATGCTTAACGTTTTGAAGCAAAGCATTTTAGCTGTTTAGGGGAGGTGAAATGTATAAATATTTTATTTTTAAAATATTTCCTGGTTTCTGAAAGATAAGATTATGGGCCATTTTTACTTTCCTGTATTTATATTTAAAAGAAAGAAAAACAATTTTTTTCTTTTTTAACAGAGAAAACAAATTTGGTGCTGCTGGGCTGAACTCTGACCTTTCTGTTCTAGCTGGTGTTGTCCTTCCAGGTGATCCAGCCGTGTCCTTTCAGTCGCTCTAACCCAACTCCAAAACTCTAATGAATTCCTCTGTCCTTGAAGGGAATGGGCCCATTCGGATATCTGGATTTTATAGACCAGGAAAATCCCCCTGCCCTCCAATATTGGGGATATTTGGATTTTTCATCTTTTAGCTTTGCCAAGAAAAGGTCATTTAAAATCAGAATAAAAAAATGAGTACAACTACCAGCTATCATTGTCACAAAAGCCATTTTCAAACCCTTAAGGTAAATGGACTTGAACTTAACAATTTCTGAAAGAGCTTCCCAATAATAGACAGTTGACAAACTTAACATGTGTATATATCTGCATCTCATTCTTTGGCTATACTAATGAGTTACCTACATTGCAGAACAAAAGACACTGGTGTATGACTGCATGGGAAACGTCTCTCTTACTTAGTCAATTGCTGGGACTCTTACAACAACATTCTATTTTTCTTTGTAAAATATTTTGTTACAAAATGTCCAAGGAGTTTGTAAAGTATCAGAGAAGATTTTAAAATGTTTATATTGCTTCAAACTACAGAGAGAAGCCTTCCTACCTCAAACTGAGATCCCATGAAAGATGATAGATAATAGAAAGTTTGGGTTCCTAGTTTAAAAAGCTGACTCTGGGCAGTTGTGAATCATGATTTATTTTTTATTTATTGAAATATAAAACAAATTCAAAGTATATATAATTCAGTTAGTTTTTAGAATACTTACAAAGTTGTACAATAATCACCACTATCACATTTCTGATCTTTATCATTACCCACAAAAGAAACTCACTTGTTAGCTGTCACCCCACTTCCCTCCCCTTCCAATCTCTGGCAACCACTACTCTGTCTGTCTCTGGATTTGCTTACTCTGGACATTGCACATAAATGAAATCAAAGTATGTGGCCATTTGACTGCTTTCACTGTTTTCGAGGTTCATTTTGTAACCTATAGCATGTATCAGTGTATCCTTTTTATAATAATAACACATTTTGTTTACCCATTCACCATTTGATGGACATTTGGGTGGTTTCCACTTTTTGGCTATTATGAATAATTGCTATAAACATTTGTTTTCAAATATTTGTGTGGGCGTTTTCATTTCTTTTGGGAATGCGGTGGTTCCATATGGAATCACAAGTTTGGTGGTTCGAATCCACCAGCTGCTTCAAGAGAAAAATGAGGCATTCTGCTCCTGCAAAGATTTATAGCTTAGGAAACCCTATACAAGGGTCACTCTGAGTTGGAACCAACTCACAACACTCAACATGCTACCTAGGCTTAACCTTTTAAGGAACTGCCAGACTTTTAACAAAGAGGCTGCACCATTTTACAAGCATAGCGGTTATGAATTGGGTTGCAAACCGCAAGGTCAGCAGTTTGAAACTGCCAGCTGTTACGCGGGAGGAAAGATGAGGCGTTCTGCTTCTGTAAAGATTTACAGCCTCAGAAACCTTGTACAGGGTCGCTATGAGTCGGAACCGACTCCACGGCACATAACAACAACAGTTATATATGAGGATTCCAATTTCCTAATATCCTGTTCAATAGTGTCGGATTCTGTGCTAAACCTAGGGTCATGCCTTCATAAATCCCTGTTAAGTCACCAGAGCGGGTCCTCTTTCCCAGAAGAGCAAATGTGGGCGGGGCAAGTCCCCGGAAGCAGTGCCCACAGCCGTTAAAGGACAAGGCCTCGGGGCTCGCGCCCCGGAAGCGGAAGCGAATGGCCGTTTCCGGGCGGCTGATTCGAGGTCTTATTTTGTCAACAAGCAGAATTTCGGAGGCTCTGCAACCTGTTGGGTCATGCCTTCGGAAGGACGCTGCTGGGAGACCTTGCAGGCCTTGCGCAGTTCCGACAAAGGCCGCCTGTCCTACAACCGTGACTGGCTGCTCCGAGGCGAGGTGAGTAAATGACCTCTAAGTGGGGTAGACCCGTAGGCTCCGCGAGTCACCTCTAGCTCGAGCTGGGCCCGACTCTTTTTCAGCCACTGGCACGTCCTGATCCCGGCGTCCCGTATGTTCTTTCTGATAATGTTAATTCTTGTGTGTGTATCTCACGGTCTAAAATACCTGCCTTTCCCATCCTATTGTAGCTTTTCGGGGAGCTCCTTCAGAGCTGCTCTTTTCCTAGAAGGCATCTTTAGATTTAAGTTCCTCTTTCCGAAGCAATTCTGGCTTCTCACGTGGTAGGTTTTGTGCTGACGGCTCCGGATTTAGCAGAATGATTGTTGTTGCTAAGTGCTGTCGAGTCGATTTCGACTCAGTAACTCTGTGTAGGGCTTACAAGGAGCAGCTGATGGGGTTTGAACCGCCGGTCTTGTGTTTGGCAGTCCAGTGGTTATTCTACAGTGTCACACCTGGATTATTATTGTTAAGTGCCGTGGAGTCGGTACCGACTGATAGTGACCCTGTATAAGGTTTGCGAGTAGCGGCCGGTGAGTTTGAACCACTGACCTTGCGGTTCAAAGCGACTTTGTAGTCCAGTGCTTTATCCTACAGCGCCACACCACGATTCCTACACCAGGATTAACTCAGCCTAATTCATTGTGTAGGGACTTGTAGTGTGGCGCTGTTGTATCAGCACTGGACCGCGAACCAGAAGGTCTGCAGTTCCAAGATTTACAGCCTTGGAAATCCTATGAGTCAGTTGTGCTGTGCCCTATAGGGTTGCTATGAGTCGGAATCAATTTTGGTTTAATCCATTACTGTGAGTGAACTGACCAAAATGTTAGCTATTGGGCAGACCTGGAAAGTTCCCAGGGCGTGGGCACCGCGAGCACTAGGCAGCATTTAACTACAACAAAAGGGTGCCCTTTTGTTGTAGTTAAATGCCATCGAGTCAATTCCAACTCTTAGTGACCCCTCCGAGGGTGGCAGGTGGGTTTGAACTGCCGACCTGTGTTTAGCAGTCCAGTGTTTATCGTACAGCGCCACACCAGGACTTCTTAGGTGCTGGAAATCTAAGGACAAATATGATGTCTTTTCTGACTTGTGGGTGGAACAGTTCTAAATCATTATGTTTTTTTTGTGTTTGACAATTCTAAAGGCTACAGACCTTACATTTTGGAGGATGATCCCAGCTTGGGCCTGTCTGACGTTTTCAAATGACCCGACTCAGTTTATACATTCTTGGCAAGAATACCGCAGAAACAGGCTCTGTACTTCACATCAAGGAGGCAAGAGAAGTCAACTGCTTCCATCACCTGCCATGCTAACCTTGCTCATAGTGGTGTCTGCCAGATTGTACCCTTAAAATTGATCATTTTAATCTTTATAATAGATTAATATTTTCTGGGGAGGCATTTTGAGACTACAACAATATCCTTTTCTCGTCAAACCTCCACCCACCAGTCTTCAAATTAATTGATGGCTTCTGTGCTATTATCAAATGGTGTTTCTTTATAGCTATCATTCCTTCTACATATGTTAGTTAACATTCTGGTTTTTTTTTGTTTTTTTAAAGATATCAAAGTAGTTTTATTTATATGATTGTTTTATAATTGTCATTAGTTACTTGGTGTTCTTTAAAGGAGAGGTTCCTTTGCTCCCCTGTTTAATGATTTGTAGCAATATGGACTCATGGATTCCAATTTATTCAAGGAATTATAATTTATTACTATCATTTATTTTGATTCTCAAAATGTCCCAAATTTGGCCAGTATCTTCAGACTACTTCTTATGTCTCTTTAATATGTTTCATCATTAGCCCAGCATTTCTCTACTATTCAGGACAAAAAAGTATTCCAAGTACAAGTTGTACTTTCTCTGTCCTGACCCTGGAATCAGCCATTTCTCCAAAACCTGATTCCTTTTAAGTGGAGGGTGGTTTTTACAAACCTAGATCTGGGAGCTCAGTGTGGTCATTGTTACTCAAATACTATTGCTTCTAGGCGATTTTAGTGGATAGGGCTAGGAAATATATACATATGTAGGCGGTTCAAGCTCACCAGTTACTCCTTGGAAACCCTATACAGGGTCACTATGGGTGGGAACCGACTTGACAACACTTACAGCAACAACAACATATGTATACACTCATATGTGGTTAAATTGAAAAGTGTTCCTAAAAATCATAGAAACCGTATCAAAATGTGGAGTTACCATTTCTGGACATGTCTTCCATCAACTTTGTTTACTTTTGAAGGCAGTGTTTCCATCTCTCTAACCCTTCATCAGTGGTTATGAATCGGACTGTGAACCTTGAGGTCAGCAGTTTGAAACTACCAGTTCCACAGGAGGATGATGAGGCTTTCTGCTCCCATAATGATTTACAGCCTCAGAAACCCTGTACAGGGTCATTATGAGTTGGAACCGACTCTATGTTACGTAACCACCACTATCCCTTCGTCAAAGAATTCTGTGCTCATTGATTTCTAGTAGGTCAAAATGACAGTTTTGATATCTTCAAGGGACTCAAATCGTGTTTCTTTTGAATGTTTTTTGAGTGTGGGGAACAAAATGACTGAAGGTGCAAGATTAGGACTGTGGGGTAGATAAAGTAAAGTTTCCCATTGAAATTCGTCTAGGACAGCCCTGTTACCTTGGAAAAATGAGCAGGTGCATTGTCATTATGAAAATTTCTTCGGTACTACATTCTTGGCCTTTTTTTCCACTAATGCAGTTTCCAGTTTTCTTAAAACTTTTTCATAATAAGCCCCCGTGATCATTCTCTGTCCTTTGAGAAAATCTGTCTGGATAACCCCTTTGGAATCTCCAGAAACAGTTGTCATAAATCTTCTGAGCTACCTTTACATATTTATTTTAAAACCATGAGTTCACACTGATAGCCACCTCTAACAATCCAACACTCAGCATCTTTTTAGCAACCATTTACGTATGTGAGCACTAGCATAGCGAGGTAGGATAAACACTGGACTGCTAATCACAAGCTCGGCGGTTCAAACCCACCATTGGGTCTTTGAAACCTATACAAACTAGACAACACAGCAACATCCATGTTTGTAAATATTTTATCCAGTTATGATTGGAAACCCTTTTCAGGGTTGTTATTAGAATTGACTCAGTAGCACTTAACAGCAACATAGAATTGTGGCCTTGTTAAGCTCAATACATTTGTTTGCTCTGTCAATTTACTTATCTAATTATAGCAGTCACCCCCACACTGGTTGTTTCTTCCACAAGCTTGCCCCTCAAACCAAACAGTACACCTACCAAACAATCCACTGCCTACCTTCCAGTGTTTTCAGCTGTTTTGTTGATTCCTCAATACCAAGAGAAAAGGCTTACTTCTGGCATAAGAAGATGTTCCTCATCACCCATTTATGCAGGAATTCCTGATGACTTTTTTGTGTAAACTGGAATTAAGAAATCAAGATCTGGGCAGTAGATATGTGCAACAGCACAAATGGTCATCAACCATTTGAGATCAGAAGGGCAACATTTATCCAAGAACAGAGTTCAGAAGGGTTGGGAAAGAAGGAGCAATGAAAATGGGAAACAGGGAGGAAGTTAGATAAATGGTGTTACATTGTGGAGATTGCAATCAATGATATGAAATAAATATGAGTTGTTGAAAACTGATTTTCTCTGTAAACATTCACCCAATTGAAAATTAAAAGTTAAAAAGAAAAAAAAGTATCATTGCTTTTAGGTCTTTTCAGTGGACAGAGCTAAGAAATATATGTATGTGTCTACATACATATATGCATGCATGCTTATACATGTATCTTTACTAAACCCTATATGGAGTTGCTGTGGGCTGGAACCGAGTCGATGGCACTTAACAACAACAATATGTAGGCAAAGGAGCTCCTGTAATGCCTTGGGTTACAAGTTGGGCTGCTAACCATAAGGACAAGTTTGAATTTACCAACCACTTCATGGGAGAAAGATGAAGCTTTCTGCTCCTATAAAGATTTATAGCTTTGGAATACTTGTATAGGGTCATTATGAGTCATAATTAGCTCTACAACACACAGCTGCCACCACATGTATGCAAGTGTGTAAACTCATGTAGCTATTTCTGTTACATTTAAATTCTTTCAGTTTGTGATATATATTGTTATTGTTGTTAGGTGCTGTCAAGTTGGTTCCAACTCAGCGACCCTGTGCACAACATTGCCTGGTCCTGCGCCATCTACATAATTGGTGTTACACTTCAGGCCATTGCTGCTGCCACTGTGCCAATCCATCTCATTGGGGATCGTACTCTTTTTCACTGACCCTTCACTTTACCAAGCATGAGGTCATTCTCCAGGGCTTCGTCCCTCCTAATAATACTTCCAAAAAATGAGAACCACAGTCTCGCCATCCTGGCTTCTAAGGAGCATTCTGGCTGTATTTCTTCCAACACAGATTTGTTTGTTTTGGTAGTCCATTGCATTTTTGATATCAGGGTCATTCTTACCAAAGTCATCAAGGCCAACTCTACTTTGATGAGGCAGCTCTTCTCTAGTTGTATTTTATGTGCCTTCCAACCTGAGGGACCCTTCTTGTGGCACTATATTTGACAATATTTTCATGCTATTCATAATGTTTTCATGTTTCAGCACTGTAGCTGACAATGTTCCACTGTTACTCATATAAGTTTTTCAGTGACTAAACATTTAGAAGTTTGTCCCCTCTCCAGCTTTCTCTGGAAGCTCAGCTGAAATCTGTCCACCATACGTGACTCTGCTGTTATTTAAAACACCAGAGGCATAGCTTATCAGCATCACGGCAATATGCAAACCAACACCATACAACAAACTGACAGATGTTTGGTGGTATAATATATACACAACACATATATCTATTTCTTTTTATATGTGCAAGAATATGAATATGTGTCTGTATATATAAAGAGCCTTCATGGCATCCTGAACACTTAACTGTGCTCATGAGGAATCTGTACATGGACCAAGAGGCAGTTGTTCTAACAGAACATGGGAATGCTGAATGGT